CAGACAGGGTTTATGAGCAGCCATCCTCCCCCAGGCCAGAACATCCCAAGTCCTCTCAAGGAGTTTCCAGCACTTGTGAGAAGAGAGGAGCCCAGCGTCCATTTGCTCTGGGAATGTGGGCATATTCCCATCCCAGAAGCACTAGGATCCCATTTTCAAAGCCCTCCTAAAATCCCACTGAAAAGCAGTGGAGTCCCAGGCCACTCTTTCCCTGAACCATCCACGAGTTCAGCCATCAAGGAAAATATTAGAGAATATGAATGTAAGAAGACAAGGCTAGCAGGACTTAAAATTTTAAGTAGATGAAGGAATGTGGTTTAGATAGTGGTGAACAATTGGTCTCAGATTTGTGCTTCCAATCTAGGCAAGAGGAAAAAATTAGGTTCATCTTAAAAGGGACTTCTTTCTAGTGAAGACTGCAAAAACATTGTTTTTGTCAACCTCTAGGGTATCCTCCCTTTGTTGACTCAAGTTATTAAGTTATTCCAATGATTTACCAAGGGACATGAGTGGGCAGCAACCTTATCTAGAATCCCTACTAATAAACCTGCACGTATACACCACCAAAGCAAACACTGCCTCCTTTCATCGTCACAGACAGCCTAAGCAGTAAGCAGAGTATTTACCTCCCTCTTTTACAAATTAGGGCACAGGTGAAGTGGCTTGCCTAGGATCACAGTGAACCGGACCCTGATCCATTACACATTGTGGACACTGAATTCTCAGGTGTTAGGTGCAGCCATTGTAGAAGAAGGGGAATGAGTTGGTCTTTCTGAGGCCCCCAGCCAAGACCAGTCTCCGATATTCTGTGTCCTTTCCCTATTCTGTGACTGTGTGCATCTATTTGACCCCTCTTTAAGATTAGATCAGAATGGCGAAACAATCTGTACATGCCTCACTATTTGCTAGTGTTGGTGGTCTACTGAGGCAATAACTTTCTCATGTTCAGATTCTACTACTCAGACATATGGCAAAGAGGGTTAATAATGTCTTGACACAACCCCCATGGCCGGTCCCATAGCTGACTCTCTGAGCAGTCAGATTTCAGCCTGAATGTCATCTACTCAGTCTTTCCTGACTAGATACCAACCCCTCAGTTTAATATCACATGGTACTATTTATATAGCTCACCACCAGTTACAATGAAATTATCCGTCATGCAGGGATATCCCAATTACGAAAGTCAACCTATGTGCAAATTTGATTCTCTCCCCTAGCACAATTTAAGGCTCAGGAAAGGGAGATAACCTGTCCATTCTGATCACCTCTGTATCTCTGGTACCTGGCACATAATAGATACTCAAAGATGTGTGAACTAAATGGAGTAATGGCAGAAAAACTCTCCCACCTGATGTCTCTTATTAACTCCCTGCGATTAGATTGGGGTAAAATGTTGATGATCACTGAAGCTGAGTGTTAGGTATCTGGGGTTTTCCTAGTCCCTTGATGTGTTGTATTTGTGACATTTCAATAATAAAAAACAAAGTGGTTCACCCCTGGGATTTAAAAAGTCAGAGGTGGCCTGAATAGCAGGCCTTAATGAAGGGTCCTAAAACAGATCTCTCTCCACCCAGAAAAAAGCCTGGCTGGTGGTGCGGCTCAACTAGTAGAGAGCCTGCCTAGCAAGCCTGAGGAACTGAGTTCGAACCCCAGTACTGCCAAAACAAGACAAAACAAAAAGCAAGTCCTAACATTGGCTACCATAGTCCTTTAACTAAAAGCCAGTAAAGCTGTATGTTCAGCTGTGGGGGAAGAGCATTAGGCTGGAGAAGTGCTCAGCATTCTGGTGACTGACAGGACGTACTATACTTGTAGAGTACTTATATTAACAAGATATTTTCCCTTACAGTTTGTTAAGACAGCAGCATGAAGTAGTACTATCCCCATGCTTATTATTTTATTATTTATCTCATTCAAAGCCTAATCTAAATGCTTTGAGTCAGACAGAAATAAGATTCAAATCCTAATACTGACAAAGTGAGTCTCCATTTCCTCATTTGGAAAATGAGAATCTCACCTGGGATACAGAACCTCATGGGATTATAGAATATAAATAACAGGAGGGCATTTAATACCAGACCAGACATATAGGAGATGCTCAGTGTTGGCTCATTCTCTCCCAGAGAGCAAGGCTTTGTCTTACATGTTATAAGCCCATGCACTATTCAGCTCAGAGCCCAGGTGCCCAATTAATTATTTACTAAATTTTACAGATAAAAGATTCACAAAAGCTCATAAGTGGCAGAACAAGTCCTAGAATCAACATTTTCAGATTATGCTAAGTGCTTTCAACAGCACCAGGCTGCCTCAATGGTGGTTTAAAAATATTCTTTTTAACCTATTAAAAGAAGTTTTGCATGAGCTCATACCTACCTATAAATTCTACACAAATGTTAGTTTGTCCCACTTTTTTCTTATTTCCTTACTTAAGATCCTTGTTCAAGGAAGTGCTTTCTCCCACAGAGGAAACTCATTTATGCTAATTTCTTTTTTTAAGCACTCAATTTTAGTCTAGACTTCCAGATACTAGGGCTACAACCCACCAAAAAGATAGGAGGGCAGCATGGTCACACTGAGTTGGCACACAAGCTCCAAGCTGCTGGCAATCAACCAGTGCTGCTTTGCTGAGCCTCCAAAACCAGCAAACAGGCCTCCATGACCTCCTCAACCATCATAACAAAAGTGTTTTGCAGCCTAAGATGAAAGGATGTGATCAAAGAGGCCAAAGGTATAGGCTGCTAAAAGAAGAAAGCATGAGATTGTTCCATGTGATAGGGACAGGAAGTGTGTAGGCAGGAGGTGCTCAGGGCTGGGCTTCCCACCACTGCAAAGAATAGCTGGGCACAGACAATGTACAGTGGTTGTGGGAAATGGCTTCCGGCCCCACATAAAGGCACAGAAAATAAAAATAAACCACCCCAGAGGTGTTGTGCTGGAGGCAGCAGGAAATGCTAAGATATATCTCAATCTACATACAAAATAAACTCCTTCAACATGCTTCAGCTAATAAATAAATATTAAAAAAAAAAAAACTAAGAATGTGAAACTCCATTGGGGGGAGGAGAATAATCCATTTCTTTAAGCTTGAGGACTAACCCCACAGTTAATTCTTGTGTGTATATGGAACTGAGAACTATAGAGCAAGTCATCATTATAGGCCTAAAAGCCTATAATGAGCTTTTAGGCCTAAATTTAAATTCAAGACGCCAAAAGCAGCCTACAGGATTTTGCCCTATTGCAAATGGAGAAAAGACACTGAAGATGAGTTTCCCATTGATAACTGGCTTGGGTAGATCACAACCTCTAAAACAAAAGCCAATCTAGTATTTGGAAACTTAGTATCTGTCCCACATACTTCCACATCACTGTGAGAAATTTATATCTGTACATTAAAGGTTCTGAAATTTTCACCTCTGAAAAAGTTTACTTTTGTTCTTCAGTTTTTAACTCATTTTCTTGAAATCTGGATACTTTTCATATTTGAAATACCTGTCCATCCAGTCTAAACTAAAAATCATTCTGAAGTCTCCTGAAACAGCCTCTATGATATCTGTATACAAGTTTTAAAGCAAATTAAACTGCTCAATCATAATCTTAGTAAATTTATCCCTAGTATTGGTAAGCCATGCCTGTGGACACTCGTTTCACAGAAAGCTTGGTGACTCCTATCTAGAACTGTTCTCAAACATGAGAGTGCATCTGTTAGGCAGAGAGCTAATAAAGTACACAGAAGCCCAAGCTTTTCACCAACTTCCCAGGTAATTTGCAAGATACATCAAAAGTCAAAAAACATGGCTCCAGATCAGTGCTTCTCAAACTTCAATGTGCACACGAATCACCTGGGGACTTTGTTAAAGCTTTTGCTTCTGTAGTTTGGGGGGAGAAGCCTGGAGTCTTTTCAAATAAGCTCTTAGGTGAAGGCCATACTGCGAACCAGTGAAAACATTTTGTACAGAAAGAATCCAGAGCCCTGCTCCTCCAATTTGGCAGCACTGCAATCACCTGGGTAACGTAACTACAAATAAAGCCACACATTTAAGTGGTCTGGTATGACCCTAGCAATAGAATTTTCAGTTCCCCAGATTATGCTGATATGCATAAGAACCTCTGGAGCTCAGTTCACCTTGGGAGTCAGCTCAACTTCAAGAGTGGAACTCTCAACATGGCTTGTTTTCCAATAGGATATGACCATCTCCAAAGCTCCTCCACAAACATTTTCATTTTATTCTTGCAGTTATCTTAGGGGTCAGCTAAGATAATAAATGATAAAATATTCTCACTTTATTCTTGCAAATATTTTAGGAGTCAGCAAAATTTCAGTAGTGAAACTCTCAACATGGCTTGTTTCCCATAGATGGCAAATCTACTGCACCCACAATGGAGCTGGCATGTGGCATGACACGTATGTGCCCAGACGTCAGCCAGCAGACCTATGTTCTACCCAAGCTTTGTCACAGCTCTGGTCCTAAATCATAAATCTGAGCTTTGATTTCCTCACTTAGCTAATGAGAACTGGAGACCCTAAGACAATTCCAAGAATAAAATGAAAATATTTGTGAAGTAGTTTTGGAGAGTATCACATACAACAAATCAACATATACACAACCCCCACTTTTTGCACTCTGACCACATTACCTAAAAGATAAACATTTTACTTTTCACCCTGAAGCATGTTGAAACAAATATAACTGTGAAAGCACACACTTATTCAATTTCTAACAAAGTGCTTAATGGTGCAGTTTCAGGAACACACTATGTCAAGAAGAACAGAAGCACCTTTCTTTAACAAGGAAGAATTAGTGAAGGATTACCTGCTCCAGGGAAAGGACAAAGGAATGCCTTTTGTCACTAGCTCCAAATACACTAAATGGAAACAAACATGTAGGTTCACGGTTGCAAAGTTTTCAATTCGTAAGGAGCTTATTAGTATACAGGACTGAAGGGAAAAAGATTTAGATACCAATAAAATTTGAAAAATAAAAGAGTCATGGAAAGGAGTGGATGCAGTTTTTTAATTTTTGGAAAGTAAAGGGTTACACTTAACAGAAGGCAGAGCTCGTATTAATAAATGTTCATTACAAAGGTTGTCTGACAGAGTAAGGGAACTTCTCCCGGCTCTCCACCTGCATACCAAATCAAAGTCGGTAGTAAGTACTAATCTGAAGAATCCACATGTCCAACAAGCTGCCGTCTCAAAAACTCTTATCCAAGAAACATCAAAAAGTGAACCTGAAAGAAAGAAAAAGAAAGGTAAAACTCCAGGTCCCAAAGTCCTCCAATCTAAACTCTAAGCCCATGAAACAGCTATGGGGTTGCTAAATTCAGACAGTATTCAAGCCAGATTAGAATAATCAGAATGAGGCTCCTATTTTTTTACAGGAATAAAAAATGTTTTGATGGGAATAATAGCTATAAAAGTAATATTCAAACCTAAGCTCCAAGCCCAGCAAAGCAACACTGGGTTTACTAGGTACCAGGAAACATGGGTTCTAACTCCAGCTCTACAATTTTAGCTGCATGACTTTACATAAAATCACTCACCTCCCTGGCCCTCAAATTCCTTATGGTGAGGGGTTGCAGTTTTGCCTTTTCTGGAACTAGAATGCTTATAAAGCACTAATTTCCAGTTTGGAGGAGAGTGAAGAAGGAATGATTCAAGAAAGAAGGAAGAGAAAAATTCTCAAAATTTTCAGAAGACTTAAATTCTTAGAAGAAATAATTTAGTTTTCACTTAAAGACAGTTATTTTTCATAAGAAGATGGAAAGTAACTCTGAGAAGTGGTTATGTTGCTGCTCAGATCTGGATGGAACTGGAATCTGTATACTGTGCAGTGGTGCCCTCCCAGAAAGGTACAGTATGGCCACAAATTGACCTCTTGGTACTACAGGCCTCAAACATCAACATTTCCAACTACAGCAGCCAATTTTCCCAGAGTGTGCCATAAAAACGGTGTAATCTTCTATGTATGCCATGACTTGAAAAAGGTTGGGAAACAATACTTTTCAGAAGAACTGGGCTACCCACTCCAGAAGGTAAACGAGAACGATTCTAATTCTGTCTACTGGTACAAGTGACCAGGAGATTCTAGCATCATAGTTTAAAGGAAGTATCTTAGACTTCCAGCCAAAACACTTTTATTTCACTACCAATGGTATTTAAAGGAAAGCTACATAATTACAGCACATCTTCTTTATCAGTGGAATTGTGAGAAATGTGAAAAAAGGGCAAAAACAGGGAACAAAAAGTGCTAAATAAGAACAAATCAACACCAGATCATTCCATCAAATTTCTTAAAGCAAACTCTGGCAACAGATGATGAACCAATGCATCAGTCCTAACAGGAGAGGACTATGGAGCACTTCAGAGAACAAAGCCTTGACACATTTACATTTATAAAAGAAATTCCAACTTAATACATAAATCAAGACATTGAGACCAGTTCATGTGGAAGGCAAAAATGACTCATGAGTCTCTTTGATAGTGGTTTTCAGAAAATCCTATTCACAAAGATCTGCTCCCTTCTTTTAAGGCAAATTTGTGTTGCCACACAGTATTCTAAAAGCAGAGGTCTAGGATTCTTCGAAATGTTAACTCAACAAAATTGGTCTACGCAACAGCTCAGAAAAATGATTTCAACCGTTAAGCAGAAGGTGAAGGTTTCAGTAGACTAGACTGATATCAAGACATATAAAATGGAAGACACCTACTGACAAAAGTTAGCAGGACTTCTTCAGTCTATTTCACCCATGCAGAAAAATCAGTGTCATTTGATCAGTCTGTTCTAATCATCTTAAAAGAAAGCAAGGCACAACACAAAGAACTGCTAAAAATAATTGCTTTCTGTATAGATAGAAATGCTAATGCCAGACAGGGTCACTTCTATTTGGAATGTGTACTGTTCTCCAGCACCATCTCTGTTCAGACCCGAGCACTGAGCAGACCTGATCAAATGGTGATTTTCCCTTGAATCCATTTCATCCTGGATTCTGGTTAGCCAATTAAAACTGGAATTGAAGATAATGTAAATCAAAGACAATTCTACAAAAAATTCCAAGATCACAGTTCAATCAGAATCACCATAATTTTATAAGGCACAGATCATATTCCAAAAATGAAAGAGGCTTCAGAGATCAACTAGACTAATCCTCTCATTTTAGAGCTGAGGAAACCATAATCTGGTATCTTGACAAATATGTCCAGAGCTGTGATTAGCTTCAGGTGAATATTAAAACTTACTTAAAATTAAATGCAGTTAAAAATTCAGTTCCTTAGTCACTTAAGTCACATTTCAAATGTTCAGTTATCACATGTGACAGTGGTTACTGTACTGGGCAATGTAGAATGTAGACCCAAAACATTTCCACAGTACAGAAAGGTACTGGTCCAGGGTCACCTTCACTAGATTAAGTCAGGTCTCCTGATCTGCACTCTCCTGAATTTCTCCTGGACCATATTAAGGAAATCCGGCTTTAAAAAACATTTGAGATCACCTATCTTCATCCTTTCTTATGGGACTCCCAAATATACCAATGCAAAAAAGAAAATTTAATATTTTTAATGAAAATCTTCTTAAAAAAAAAAGAGAGGTCTATACATATATAATTCAAAAGTCCTTGAACACAAGAGTACAAGGAACATAAAATTTTGGAATCCAAATATCCATTATTAGAACTAGGATAGTTCTGACTGACTTCTAGAGACTGGGTGAGTCGACTTAAATTTCACCGAGGTTCAACTACCTCAGGTGTAAAATAGGACTACAACCTACCATTTGTCTACCTCCATCACAGGGTGAGTAGTAAAAATTTCATGCATTAACATAGGTAAAATACATGTGTGGAAGGTAATGAATCCTGCAAGTTTGGTAATATGATAGCTGTAAAGCATTTTACAAATGTTTACTTTTGTAAAAGGCCTTGCATAATTATTGTGCACATTGTTATGAACAGTCACGATTTGACATTTCACCTTCTGTGAATGGACAGAGGAAATATGGGTAAAAAGCAATAACTGAAGGAAAAAGAAAAAGCAAAGACCAAGGATCCAGAAAACCAACACAATCCTCAAACACACCAGGGTTCATCATGAATTACATTCATGAAAGGTTAACACTTCAGAGTTTTGCTGAGCAGCCAGCCCCATACTGGATAGATAGGCTCAGAGACAAGCTTCCTTGTTCATTCGACTAATTAACAGAACCAAGTCTATAGTGCAGGTCTTCCAACTGGTTGTCTCATGCCCTTCCCCATCACCCCACCTCTCATATGAATCTTCTCCTTGGCTTTTTTCTTCCATAGCATTCTCCACATGTCATAGACATCCAACTCACCCGTGCTGTAGCTATTTTTCTTTCAGGTGAAAATGACTTACTCATTTATATGCTCACTCCCCAAGGTCCTTACCCTCGGGGAACCTAAGAGTCCAGTGGGAAAGAGGACTCTGTTGTGAGTGAACAATTTCATAACAATGTGATAAATAAATGGAGAATTACAAGTATGCAAGTGGACCTGACAGCCCAGAGAGGAAGTTCCAGTATAACCTTGCGGGTGGCGATGGCTTAAGAACGGAGTCATCAGGGCCCAAAGGGTGGAGAAAATAAGCCAGGGAGTTAAGACAGCAATGAATTCAAAACACAAATCTACCTACTACCTGATATTCTTATTCTCATTCTCTCTCTCTCTCTCTCTCTCTCTCTCTCTCTCCCCTTAAATGAAACAAATACAAAAGAGTTCAGCCACCAAGCAAAGTCATCAATTAATGTTTTCTTAGTAAATAAAACAAGCAGATTCACGATCTTAGGACTAATAGGTAAAGAATCTCACCTTCTAACCAGAGGGAAAAGAGTTGGAAAAGGTTATGCTGTGTGCCTATCTCAGAAGATTTTCTACAAATTCCAGATAGAGCCCTCTTTGGTGAATTTATTTAGTGGCAGGACCAAATTTAAAGTAAGATGGAAACGTCAAGGAAAAAATGAAATAAAAACTAAATAGCCCACCCGCCCCCAACAAAAATGGAACAACTATTCCCAGTTGGAACCCATTGCTAAAAACAATAAAGTCTAAGATAAACCAAAAAAGGAATTCTTGAACCAGCAAGAAAAAGAAACACAGGTGAAATCTGCGGGTCTGTGTGCACAGTCTTCCTGTGTAACAAAACCCTGAGCCCTACTGAGGTTCTGGGTCCTTTTGTTCCTAGCTCGACACTGCCTACCTCTGGTCAGGACATAAAGCAACCCCTGACCCCACATATAAACCCTCATGCACCTCTGCTGCCCTCCAATGACTGGAAATAAACTAGGTTTTATCACAAAAATTAGAGGTTTCCTCTCCCAAACTCAACTTCTCTTATGCTTTGTAGTATATTGTTCTCAGGGAAGGAAATAGTATCAGCCACTAGGTGGCAGCAGAGCTTAAAGAATTAACATTCAGAGTCCTTTCTCTAGGTAATTCTCTAGATTACTATACTTTGATGAATTCAAAAAGCCAATAGAACCGCATGTTTGCAAACACCTGCCTGTCAGTTAAAATGTTCTGACCTTGCACAAGGCCCTGGGTTCTATTCCCAGCATCATAAAAACAAACAAAACAACAACAACAAAATGTTCTGACCATCCCTCTCCTTGCTCTATGAATTTTTATTTTATAGTTGTTGGGGGAGTTTTTTTGGCAGTACTCGAGTATGAACTCAGGCCTCACACTTGCCAGGTAGGTGTTCTACCACTTGAGCCACTTCACCAACCCAAAATACTGATTTGTGAAAGACTGGTAGGACAATGTCTACATTATACAAACAAAGCACACTAACAAAATTTTAGCACAGCATCTGCAGTCTCCCTGGGAGCCTAGCACACTTTAGCTTGGGTTTATCACTTTGTGCCTAGCTCACCTTCTCTCTGATGCAGGGCTCAAGTCCCCAGAAACCATAACCCAATGTTGCTCTGTCCCTCTTATTCCTCATTTCCCTTCAGAAACCTCAAATAGGCTGACGTCTTTTGAAAAGAATTTCAAAGAAACATAGACAAACAAAACAAAAAATAATTTCATAAAGAACTTACTCCTCAAATCTACTGAGTTTCTGTGCCACACATTCATTCACAAATCTACTGCCACCTCTGTGCCAAAAACTGCTCATCCCTTCAGGTGTGCATGGATTCCTGAGGTTCAGAAGCATATCAAGAGTGTTTTCATTTATATATTCTTATTTGACTCTAAGGATAGCCCCCTATAACCAGACTGCCAACCAGGATAGCTAAAACAGTCAGAGCAATTAACTTGTACCATGGGCTTTCTCAAACTGCCATCTTTACACATGTTCAGAAGACCAAGGAAGTCTCAAGTTTGGAATAGGCTGTATAAACAGATCTATGTATTACATTAATCCCAGCTGAAGAAAACTGTTATGAAGATCAGGTCTTATAGGAAAGAAGGACTGGAAGCCGGGCATTGGTGGCTCGTGCCTATAATCCTAGCTACTCAGGAGGAAGAGATCAGGAGGATCATGGTTTGAAGCCAGCCCCAGGCAAATAGTTCCCAAGACTCTATCTTAAAAAAATCCAACACAAAAAAGAACTGGCAGAGTGGCTCAAGTGGTAGAGCACCTGCCTAGTAAGTGTGAGGCCCTGAGTTCAAACCCTAGTACTGCCAAAAAATAGGAAAAGACTGGAAAAGGATTCAAAGGGACTTCAGCTAACCATGTGATGTTTGTTCTATTCAAAATCTATAAATTACAGATAGTGATTACAGGAATGTTGGATTACATGTACTTTTCTTTTTAAATTGTCTTTTCTTTTGTTTTTTGTTTTGTTTTATTTTTTGTTTTTTCTTTTTTTGGTGGAACTGGAGTTTGAACTCTTTTTTTTTTAAAGACAGTCTCGCTATGTAGCTCCAGCTGACCTCAAACTCACAATACTCTTGCCTCAGCCTCTTAGAATACCAGGATTACAGGCATGCACTTATCTTTTCAAATGCACTTCTTCAACTCTGCAATTGACAAGTACTATACATAAAAAACCTTGAGTAAAAATGAGGGGTAACGTTTTTCAATCAGACTAGATTATCAAACTCACTTGTCCTAAGCTTCTAGCAAAGCTCCCAGAACCTCAGTACCTACTCCGTAAGTAGAATAGCAAATCTTTGTTTGGGAAGTCAATTTTAAAAATGAACTCAGAACTAAAACAAGAAACACTTAAAGCATGGCACATAGTGAGCACGCAGTGTCTGTTACCTTTCTTACTTCCCCTAGATTATACTGATTTTTTAGTTTAATGCCATTTTCTTTTGATTGGCCTTTTCTACCATGGCTGCTGGTTTTAAATGTCACCCTCAAATTCATGCTAGATCAGTTACACTACAGATGTTTATTTTTTAAAATATCCAGTCTCAACTGGAAATACTGAGAATGTTCAATCTGTTTTATTCTACCTTCTGAGTTGGCATAAATACTGAGAACTCACTTGGAAAACGTAGCATGTTTTGGCGCACTGTGCACACAGCTGAGTTAAAGCCACATAACTGGGGTAAACAAATGTATATTAACAAAACCAACAGGACAGGGTAGTAAATGTCAAATGAAGGATCTCTGTGCAATCCTCCGGAGAATTTTTCTATAAACCTACTACTTTCTATAGGATGATTTAACACTGCAATCTGGGACTGGAAGATTTTGCTATACACTGGTCCCATAATTCCCAGCTGAACAGGTGGCCCTAGGTTGTTAATATGGTCTGCAGTACACAGTTTCTGCTGAGTCTGCTTTTTCTGTTTTTGTCATAACTTTGAAATACTGAGCTCTCTGCAGCTGAGTCCTTCTCCAATCACAACAGCCCCAGGAAATAATTCCTCATGATTTGGTATCTCCCTGAGCCTAGAGAACATCCTTGAAACGTTTGCTCTGTTCCCTTCCTAAGAATACACCATGACTCATCTAGAGAAAAAAGGACTTTGCAAAGATGTATAGCCTTTCCAGCAGTCTCCAGTAGAGAGTCTGAGAGTCACTCTTGTTATTGCCCTTGCATGATCAGTTTTCTAGCTGCCCTCAATGTTGGCCATCGGTGACAGTTAACTGGTAACTACTGAGAACTGTTATCTACTGGTCATACAACTCAATTGCTGCCCCTGCTTCCACATGGCACAGGTACTCCTCTCTGCGTCTTATAGTACTTTGTTCAGATTTCTGGTGAGGCTCTAGCCATGCTCTATTTTAACTATTACGTTCACATGTCTTCTCCCCTGCCAGACTGTTTACTTTTTATGACAGGAGCCACATTTGCCTTTCTGTATATTCCCAGTAACAAGGCACTGACTGGCAAATACAGAGGGAGAAAAGAAGGAGAACAACTCAAGTCTTAATCATGTATCCAAGGAGTTAAATTGTTATTAGGATAGTAGAATCAAGTGGTTCTCAAATTTTTTCAATGAAATAAACCATCTCTGAGAACTTACCAAAAAATGAAATCTTATCTGAACTAACCCAGCTGTTTTTAAGGCAATATTAAAGGAACAAATTTATGTAACGTAATGTTAACTGATTAACTTATGCCAAAAAATGAAGTATAGTCACTGTCACATTATTGCATGCACTTTGCACATGGCTGCTCTCTTGTGTTAGATTTCTGATTTGCATAAAAACAGCATCCTTCAAAGCAGTGATAGAAAAGGGTTGGTCCTGGAGTATTTTCCTCCCAAATAAGATGGTTTCACCTAAGAGTCTGTTTTCTTACTACCTGGTAATAAGTGGCAACACTAAATTGTGTAGTACAAAGACAAGAGTGCATGCATTCGTTAGTGAGCTGCATGAGCACTGGGCCAAGGGCACCACTGGAGGAAGGCACTGGATTGTACTGGGCCTCTGTTTTCTCATATATAAAGTAATTATGATGACACACAGTTTGGAAAACATCCATGTACTTATGAGAGCCTTAAAATGATGTCTGGGAGACAAAGATGGAGAAGAGGGCATACCACCCAGGAAGAAGAGCAGAGGGCTTCTGATTTCTATCAATCAAAACAGCTCCAGCTCCACTTCTGTTTGTGTTTTAGTCTTCTCCCAAGTTAATCCAATTTTTCCATTTGTTTCAGTTAGGACACATATTAGCAAATGGCTCAAAGGTTCACCTACACTCAATGCCTGTCCGGTGTAAATACTATCCTAGAGTAGTAGGAGGACAATGGCCCAGCATTTAAAGTGACCTGAGATCAAAATCAAAAACAAAAAAACTTAAGAGCAAATCTAATGACAAAACCTGCAATTTATGTTTCTTTAAAAATCTCTGGGTACATGTCTCTAATACCAGCACTTGGGAGGCTGAGGCAGGAGGATCATGAGTTTAAAGCTAGCTTGGGCTAACAAAAAAATTAAAAGGACTGGGGGTGTGGCTCAAGGGTAGAATGCCTACCTAGTAAGATTGAGGCCCTTGAGTTCAAACCCCAGGACCGTCCAAAAACAAAAAAAAAGAGGTGACCCACCAGGTACAGTGGCTCATGCCCATAATCCCAGCTACTCCAGAGGCAGAGACTGAGAGGATTGCAGTTTGAGGTCAGCCCAATCAGAAGGTCAAAGACTCAAGAGACATCCCCCTCATCTCAACAAATAAGCCAGGTGTGTTGGTGCATATCTATCATCTCAGCTACAAAGGAAGTGTAGGTAGGAGGATCACAGACCAAGGCCAGCCTCAGGAAAAAACATGAAATCCTATCTGAAAAATAATTAAAGGGCTGGAGACATGGCTCAAGTGGTAAGACACTTGTCTAGCAATCCTGAGGCCTTAAGTCCCCCAAGTCCCCCAATGAAAGTTTCAGGGTTCTGAGTCACTTTCATGGCCAGCAGTGCAGAAGTGAATGCATTCAGAGCAGGCAAACACATCTTTGCTGTTATGCTAACAATCGGCAGCACTGTGAGAAGACGGTGGGCCACGATGACATTAATGAAGACTTAGCAGAACACTGGTAAATTTGCATACATCTCAACAGCACTATGGAAATCCTGCCAACCATGAGCAAAATCAATTTCCCTTCCTAAGTCAACATGGATCTGACAAGAGCTACAACCACCACTTACGTTCTTCTAGTCTGCTACTCCTCGGGTAAGACAGGAATGCTTCAGCCAACAAAGTTCATGACAACAAGGTGCAAGATCGTGCTGGCAAAGAGAAAATCTGCAAAGGCTCGCTCCGGGGAGATGCCTTGGAAATCCGCTTTGTTCTGTGGGTTGATCTGTATTCTCAGGCAAACTGTGTAAGAAGCAAAGCAAAAATCATTATCAGGAAGTAAAAAGCACTACAAATGTAACTGCTAATGAGCATGCACACATCCTATGATGCAATACTATTTTAATGGAAACAAATGCCTGTGTGATCAAATGTGAGGAACGAGAGCCTCACATTGGAAACAACCTCAGTGTCTATCAACAATAAAAATAAATCATGGCGTGTGCAAACAACAGAATATTACACAGCAACGAAAAAGAACTTCTGCTATATACATAGACATGAATTCCACGGATATGTTGGGCAACACAATCCAGACATAAAAAGTACATGCTATATGATTCTATAGCGAGAGAGCTTAAAACTAGACAAAATATACAGTAACATAAATCAGGATAGCGGTTTTTATCATTCCTGGGGAAAGAAGAGGCTAGGAAAACGTAGCAAGCTTGCTAGGGTGCTGATAACACTCTTTGTTTCAGACAGAGTCTCACTGTGTAGCCCAAGTTGGCCTAGAACTCACCATCCTCCTGCCTCCGCCTTCTGAGTGCTGGGATTACAGACATGTACCAATACACATATTTTGACCTAGGTGGTGGTTAGATTGGTGAATTTAAAAACTCAAGTTGTACACTTAAATTTTATATTTTTTTTGTTGTGCTGGGTGGGGGTACATTCTGGCATTCTTACAATATATCAAATATATTACACTTAAATTTTATATTCTTTTTTTTCTCTTTCCTTTTTTGGTGTCAGGGATCAAACCCAGGACCTCCACATGCTAGGCAAGCACTCTATCAACAAGCTACATCCCAGCCAAGCTTTACATTCTTATCTGGAAAGTTAAAGGAAAAAAATGACTTTAGTTACACTAAAAACCAGAAATTTTCATAGGAAAAAATATATTGTGTGTGTATATATATATATATATATATATATATATATATAGGGGTAGTCACAAATATTGTATGACCCAAAAAACTCTAAAAAGTCTCTTACCTCCTGACTGAAAAGTTTATAATTATATCTAGATCGGGACACAGCTAAGGCTTAGCTCTCTCTTAGTAGTGAGAAAGCTGGGCTGAACGACAAAACAAGGTTATAAAAATGTGAGATATTTTCTAATAGAATAAACACAGAATCAACTGCAGAGATTATAATTGCTTATTCATGAGGACCTCATAGTAGTAGATAAACTACCCTTAGTCTAAAGTTTAGCAGCTGCTTGTTTGTCTCAAGAAAGGCAGGAGACCTGAACATCTAACTGGTGACAGAGAACTCTCTGGTGCCACATCTACACGCTAGCAGAGTCCAGCCAGAGCACCGCTGCCATGGAAAGGAAGCTCCAGGCACATACTCGTCCCCCAATACCTTTATAACTGTGATAAATTACTGCTTTACTTGCAAAAACTCAAATTTGCTTCTGCCAAGCATCCATTCCATCACTAACGAAGAAACCTAATCCAAAGGTGAGAACACTATTGGACTACTTCCCCCAGCCCTTCACCATGGCAGCAGATTTTATGCTTAAACATGTAAACTCTAAGGAAGCCCACCACTCATCTTTCCCAGCACCCAGGCCCTTCGAAGCAGGAAAGACACAGACTGCAGCAAGGGCAACCAATTAAAGTCCTTCTGCGGAAATGCAGATTGGTTCATCCACTGAGGACAGCAACTAGCCATAGCCATAAACATTTAAATGTTTTTACCTTTTGAAAGTTCTTATTGAACTTTCAAACAACATATTTGTAAAGTTGAGAAACAGTCCAAATGTCATCAAGAAAACTAAATTATACTAGACATGCAATTATTCAAAAGAATAAGGTAAATTTTCTATACATTAACAATAAAGTTACCCATTTTCGCTAAGTGAAAACAGTCAAAAGAATTACTTTTTTTTTTTGGCAGTACAGAGGTTTGAACTCAGGGCCTTGTGCTTACTAGGCAGGTGCTCTACCAACTGAGCCACGTCTCCAGCCTCCTCTATTTCTTTTTTAATACATTCTATTTACATCTAATGATACAAACAATTATTTTGTCATTTGTTTTAGTTGGAATCTGTAAAAAATCTGGAGCAATGGATAATAAAATATTAACAGTGGATACTGGGTGGGGTGGAGAAGGGGGCAGTGTAGTATTTAAGGGAAGTATGAGGAGACAAAAAAAAAAAAAACTCCTGTGAAGGTGTATAAGGTCATGAATTGATGTCATCCTCATCATGATCACAGTAACTCAAGTTATTTCCATGACAACAAAAGAATCAGCTCTCACAAGAATGGCAGGGATCTCAGAGGCCATCAAGACCAACACTCCACTTAATGCATAAAATGCCCAACTAGTAGTAGGAGGTTGGTATGTTGGGGAAGCTGCAAGAATCACCCGTGAAGTTTTCCAAAGTATACTCACCATTTCTAGAATCTGATAAGCCACCCCCAGGAGAATTACAGCCTGTGTTACTGAGAAAGGTGTCAGATGCACTGGAAACAAAAAAGGGAAAAGAACCTTGCCTGCTTTAAAGCTCCTCCACAAATGTCTCCCCGAGGCTTCCAAAGATGGAAATTTACTACCTCCTGAGGCAGCCTGTTCCATTTTAGCAGTTCTAATTTAATCCATCTCCTTAAATGTTCATTCATTCAGCAAAATATTTACTAAGCCTCTACTACAAGTCATACATCTTTCCAGGCACTGGGAATGTGGCACAGAACAAGACAGAAGAGTGGTTCCCAAGGAACTTACCGTTCTCTGGAGACAATCATGTAACAAGTGTTAAAAGTAAACAAACAAAGCAGGATCAGGCAATCATATGTGCTATGAAGAAAATAAAACAGGATAATAAAGAGTGACTGGGAAGCTATTTTGTGTTCAGTGGTCACAGAGAACCTCTTAAAAAGTGCTACTTATGACCAATATTTGGAAGATAAAGAACAATCATGTAAAGATCTAGGGGCAGAGCATTACAAATAGCAAAAATAGTCCTGACACATCTTAGGTAGAACAAGTCAGACTAACAAGTCAGACTATCCAGATGTTAGTGATCAGGGAAGAAGACAAATCTTGTGGGGCTGTATAAGCCTCAGAAAACAGTGGATTTATTTCTAAGTGCATTGAAACAGTATTTCAAGAGACTGAATAGCTGATTAACACAAATGATTCACATGGGGAGGTGGGGGCAGTACTGGGTTTGAACTCAGGGCCCTGTGCTAACAGCAAGCACTCTAGCACTTGAGTCACACATCTAGGCCTTTTTGCTTATTTTTAGTTTATTTTTCAGGTGGGGTTTCTCATTTTTGCCCAGGGTTGACCTCAGGCTACAGTCCTGCTACCTATGGTCTCCCCCAGCTGGGATCACAGGGCACACACCACCAGAACCAGCTGACTGGTTGATATGGAGTCGTCTCATCTGGGCTGGCCTCAAACCATGATCCTCTGGATATCTGCCTCCCAAGCAGATAGGGTCTCACGAACTATTTCCCCAGACTGGCTTCAAACCATGATCCTCCTGCTCTCTGCCTCCTCAGTAGCCAGGAGTACAGGCGTGAGCCACAGGTGCCTGGCTTGATTTACATTGTAAATCCATATTGTAGTTCCTAGAACTACGATATGGAAAATGGTTTGCAGTGTTAAAGAAAAGGAACTACTTGAGAGCTCAAGAGCTCAGGATGACAGCAGTAAAAATAGAAATGAAGAGAAAGTTGCAGGCTAAATTTGGAGAAGACAAAGTAATGGGTGTGGGAGACATGAGAAATCATAGGATCAAGAAAACCTCTTAAATATCTGGCTTCAATAACTCAACAAGGGGCTGGTGGAGAGGCTTAAGTGGTAGAGTACCTACCTGCCTAGCAAGCGTGAGGCCCTGAGTTCAAACCCCAGTGCCGCCAAAAAGAAGTAACAACTCAACCAATGTTATACCATGCACTGGCTGGCGAAGACGCAGATGGCTGGCAGGAAGATTCCATTTGTTAATTCAGAGGAACACAGCAGATACCATGCAAAGATGTCAAGTGTGCAACTGGATTTACCAATTTGGAATTTGGGGGACAAGTCCAAACTAAAAATATAAATATAGATATATATAACTGTAGATATATAAGTGCTATTTAAATGTAGATAAATACAATTGTAGATATTTAGATGTTATTTAAATTTATCTATGGAAAGAAAAACAAACTGAAGGGTTCTAGAATCACACTGTCAGACAGAGAAGCACCCAGCATAAAGAGTAAGAAGGAAAAGCCAGCAAGGTGAGAAGGAACAAGCAAGAGCATGTCATGAAAGCTTTGAGAAGCATGTACTTCACTCAGAATGAAGCAGCTGCCTATGTTAAATGTTAAACATCACTGAACTGTCAAAGTGAGGTAGATGGCCATTAAATTTGGCAATAAGGCAAGAGCAGTCTCAGGGAAACGGAAAGCGATAGGGACAGACCACCACCAAGACTGGGTTAAGGAATAAATGGAAAGAAAATAGACACAGTAACTATTCTTTCAAGAAATTCTGGGATGATGGGGGGAAAAAATGAGATGGTAGCTAGTAGTGTCTGGAGTCAAATGGAATTTTTTGGTTTTTGGCAGTACTGGGTCTTGAACTCAGGGCTTCACACTTGCTAGGCAAGCACTCTACCACTTGAGTCACTCGTCCAACCCAACAAATGCAATTTGCTACTTAGACAATATTAGACCATGTTTGAATGATGAAAATATCCAGCAGAGAGAAATTAATGATGCGGAACAGAGGGATAACTGCAGAAGCTGAATCCCTCAGTGAGCAAGAAAAAACTGGATTCTCTGCACAGTGAAGGAGCTAGCTGTTGGCAGAAAAGGCACACATCATTCAGCATAGTGGGAAGTCAGACAGTATGGGTACAGGAACAGGTGAGCGGCTATGATTCAGTGGAAGATAAAGGGATTCCTATCTACTTCTATTTTAGGAAAAAAAAAAATCAACTGAAAATACGGGAAAAGAGGAAATAGAGAAAGAATAAGAAGTTATACCCAGTGCTGATAGGTCAATGCCTATACTCAACT